TKGTTGTTGGCTGTTGGCTTACTGGCTCTGGAGTATAGTGTTTGGTTTGACTCAGCTTTGCTTGGTGTGGTTTTCGTTATGGCTWTTGTTGTTGTTGTTCCTGTTCATCTGCCTCTTGTTGCTGTTGTGTTTCGCTTATTTGCTGTTGTTTTTGTTTAATTTTGCTTCTGTGCGCTGGCCAAAATCTGCTTGTTGTTGTTCTGCTCGGTGTTTGGTCATAGTGGACGGATTATTTAGTCCAAGTGGTCTCGGTAGAGGCGGCGGCGTTGCGCATTGATCTTAACTTCGAAAACAGTAGCAACTGCTGTGACGAGGACGATGACGATGATGTTGCCGTTGATGGAGGTGCATTGTGGTCTCACAATGACTTGACTGGTTTAAAAAATTTCCATGAAGGAATGGGTTTTTTCTTACGAAATTTTGCTGTGTTGATTTCATGTTTATCTTGTTCAAGTTCGAAAAGTTACTTAAAAGCTTAAAAATATTTAAAAGCTTTCAACGCTTGTTGGCATGACTAATCAATCTCCGGATATAAATCGGAAGAGAGTGTAGTGGATAATTTGCCAAAAGCTTTTGGAAAATTCTGTGCTCATAAGCGGCACGCTCGGCTAATCGTAGCTAGGGAATACTAAAAAGCTCAGAGACAGAACTTAGCAAAAGCTATGTGTTTCKTTTCGACTTATGAAGGTATTATGTGGAGCTTTTAGAAACGTTTTCAATAGGAATATAAATTCGCGTCTTCTTTGTAGCTTGAAAGTTCTYTCCAMACTGGTGCGCTGAGCTTTCCGGAGCTTTTGAGCTTTTCAATGGAAACAAAAMTGCTGATGGTAGTTTTCTTCTTTTGTAAATCGTGAATCCCCATCTGGATCAACTACAGTCCAGTCAAGGTCCATATCCAACCCATGAACATCGGCCAGAAAAAAAAAATCATCTTTGTACTTCCAATACCGTGGTAACCGTAAAAATTCCTTTAAAATTTGTACTAATTCCATTAATTGGTTTACTGTGCGTTTGCCACGCGTTTTCAACCAAAGAATTTATGCCGACCGCAAACGGCCGGCGATTATAAAGCAGGCTTTTATATATGACACTCAATGGGGGCACACCAACAACCAAGTAAACATCAAACAACCAACAGACATGTGGAAACGCATGCGGCAAATGCTACATTTTATGAATGCGCCGCTACGAATGCCACATACTGCCGCAGCAACCCACTCGTTGGCGGCCGAGTTGCTGCATACACAATTGATGAGGGACTGTCGCTTTTCGAACAGCCTTGCAATATTTACGTCTAAACCATCGTTGTGATTGTTATTGTTATGCTCGATTCCCCTCCTCGTTTCACGTTTCTTACTCCTTGCTAGTATTTTGTTTTCAATTCTTACCTTTTGGCAAAGGTGGCAGCGTCGGCATGCGGCACAACGCCAAAGCGTTCGTTGAGCATGCGCGTGCGCGCATTCGGGCTTGTGCTACTTCTTCATTTGGCCCAAAGCCGCATCATTTGAATTTAATCGTATTTTATTGTGAAGTTGTATGTAAATGGAAGCCACCAGTATGCGAAGAATTGTTTTCTACAGAAAAACAACTGTGCTGCTCTTTCATTTCAACCGCCGCGCGCACATACACATGCCGGCGCGCGTGTACATTGGGCTTTATTGATATGGTAATTTTTGTTGGCCACTTGGCCGGACAAGCGCTAAAACTCGGCTTTCAATGATGCAAAGGCGGTAAATTTATTAATTTGACAAGTCAACAGCGGGTGTCAGAGATCAAACGCTGCCGTGCTGCTTATCCCGTCGTGCGCGCATACTCGCAAGTACACGCGTGTGCGCATGCGCGCTCGAGTGTATGCTATGAGCACGGTTGCAGCGCGTGTGCTGGAGGGAGAGCGAGTGTGTTTGCATTTTTTTTTTTGGGTGCACCCATTGTGATTTATGCGCGCAGAAATTTTGGTAGGTATCATTGCATTACCTGAAAGTGCCACAAGYGGCGGCAATCGTTGAAGGCCTTTTAATGCCCGCGCCGATTAGAATGTTTGCCTTAATAGATTTGTTACGAGTTTTTGATATTTTTTGGCAGAAATCCTAATTTATGGCTACAATTAACTGCGTTTTATGCAGGRAGGAAAGAAGAAGAAAAATTGTTTAACACAAATTGACAACAATAAAAGGTGAAGTATAAAAAAATGCTTGAACATTAAGTTTTGCTTTTGCTTTTAAGAAAATACTTTTACAGTTATTAATTTTTCATATTTTTCGAAATAATTTATTAAATTAATTTGCATTATTTGAATAAAAATATATATATATATATATGTGTGTCTACGAAAAGGGAGCTAACGTGCGAAAACTAGTTTCCTGGGAAACAGCTGTTAAAAATCTCATCTTCCATCAGAATCAAATAAAATGCGAAAATAGATTTTTTGGATTTTTYGACACCTAAGCCTCTTTTCCGTAGACCAGGTCACATATAWATATTTATTTTTTAAGGAAAATCTTCATTGAGTTATATTTCATTGATTAATATTTTTCTTACTGACATATACATTTTTATTACAAAGAATAAACCTTTAGTTAAACACGAGTTTAAGGTTTTGAGTTTATAAAAGTTATCTTGTTTTATTATATGTAAGTAAATCAAGAAAAATCTATTTTTCGACTTTTATTYAAACTCGAGTTTAAGTTAGGAGTTAAGCCAAGAACTGGAGTTAAGGGTTTTGTGTTTGTAAAAGTCGTAATTTCWATGTATATATACATATGTATGTTAAGTAAGTCAACATATAGTATTATGMAATTTTTTTAAACACGCACTTAAACTCGAGTTTAAATTTTGAGTTTCTGAAAGCTGCCATTATTGTATGTAAGAAAGAAAGCTTATGCAATTGTTKTCATCTTTATAATCTACAATTCAACGGCAAAATAGGGTAGTGTCGCCATAAACACCAAAAATGTAGAGATTAAAGAAAGTTAAATTGAAATTTTTTATATCGAAAAATGCAGTTGTAAATGCCAAGATCTTTGTTGATAAGGAAGTGAAATCGAGTTTCAAACAGATTTAGCAGTCAGTTTAGACTTAAAAACTGAAGGRTTCTTAGTTACAAAGCAATCGAAGAAGAATAAGAAATATTTATGAGTTTCGCAWAAACTATTTTGGGAGCTCAAAATATTTAAGTGTCAATTTTCATTTCAAACAACTTTTGAATTCCTTTGAATTTGACATTGAATCTGAAAAGGTTCAATTTTTCTCCATGAAGTCCATGTTTGAAAATTGAYTTAAGAGATATTAGTAATTTATTATTTCACAGTATCTGTAAAATTCGCTAACAGATCAAAAGGTAATTATAATCAAAATTTTATTTTTTTTGTGCTCGTTTGACAAATTGCACAGTACATCAGCTAACTGGGGGGTGAGAAATTCCAAGTCAGGATGATGGTACTAGGTCACTATAGTAAACCCCTCAAAGGGTTTTTTGTTTTTGCCAAAATGTTACAACTAAGCGAAAAAACATCAAAATAAGGAAAAAAGGGGTCATAAGGTCATAAAAAAAAACTGACGAACACGAACGCCAAACCCTTTGAGGGTTTTACTATACTGACCTAGTACCATCGCCCTGACTTAGAACTTCTCACCCCCCAGACAATAATCCCAAAAATGTTCCACAGTGTTGTTACTGCCGTAGCTGACAGAAAATACTCGCCAATCATTTGTTGGGTCATTCTGAATACATAGCCTTGACTGTCGTGGGAAGAGAATGGTATTTTCGAAAYGCACTATTGATCAAATTTGACCCGGATTGACAAAAAAATACATTTTCGCGGATTTGAACACAAATAAAAAAATTGAAATGGACCAGTCCGAGTCAAAATTGATCAGATGGTATATCTAAAGGCATATGTACAATGTAAAATATAATAGTATAGTTTTTATGATTTTAATAAATAAATAAATACAAAAAAAGTGCAACAAACATATGGATTGTAAAAATTATATTTAGCAACCGGCAAAAAATACATTTTCACGTATTTGAAGGCATATAAATGTAAAAATATTTAAATGGACCAGTCCGTGTTAAATTTGATCAGATGGTATATCTAAACACGTACATATATAAAGAATATGAATACAATATATTTTACCAAATAAAAAAATTTAAATGGAAATATAATATACAAAATTATAACGAATATCTTAAAGTTGTTTTTTTTTCATAAAAATGGAAAATTGAAAAAAATTAGAATGCATATGAAAATTGTGCGCGTGAGAATAAACATATTTAGATTTATAAAGTAATTCACGAAAAGGTCAAAGGACGGCTTCAAAATAAATTAATTTTCATTACTTTAACAGTTTTGTTTTTAAAAATATTTCACAACACCGTTTTCGAAAAAAAAATTTAGAATGTGTTTTATTTTTTGAAAATCTAGAAACCCATTAACAAAAATTTGTTGAGAAAAGAAGGAAAAAAAAATTAGTCTAAAATTGGCTTTAATTTTTCTGTGTCTTATTTTTCGCAAATTGGGTTGGATTAACAAAAATTTGTTGAGATTAATATAAAAAGTAATCAAGTTTTTTTTTTAATAATGTTGCTGTCCCCTCCATGCGATCTCGGCATTAAAGTGTACTTTATGATATCGCATAGAAAAGAAATACCAATTTTGTATTAAAATTTTTTAAATAACTACTCCTTTCACCAAAATGTAAGTGTTTTCAAAAAGTTATACTGCTCGGCAAACTCGAAAAGTATAACCGTATATTCAGGAGGAGTATTATTTTTTATTTTTTTTTTTATTA